TCACAGTAGACAGGAGCTGCACAGTTGCATGAGATTCAAAGCACCGACGGCCTTTGCATCGAGGGCAAGTTTCATCCCACTGCTTTTAGATCGTCTTGCAGGGATCTTTGTCCAGGTGACCTTTAATTCAGAGAAGTTGGTGTTTGTAGGGAATAATGTAGTCATTGTCCAATACACACTGCTATTGTTCCCTATAAGGTCTTTAGAATCAACTTCTCACTGTATGTATTGTGCAAAATCAGAAACTCACTATTATCTATCGAGATCTAAGACAAAGTAATTCAGGGAAGCATGGAAAGTGATACAGTGAGGAACTGAACTCCGTATTCCCTTTCAAGAGTGTACGTGCTCCTTCTCCTCCAGCTGCAGCATCTACTCCTGAGAACCTTTTGGCTCCTGGGGTGGTGTGAAGAAGATTGCTCCTTTGATGCACCCTGCAGGGCTGTGGCACTTCTTAATTTGCCCAAAGGATCCACTCTGACAATTTCTTCCTTATTCTCCCCCTCCCTCTTTTATTCATCACTACATTTTTATAAGATGGCAAGTTTAGCATGGTCTGGATCGCTGTTCTGACATCTCACACTGTGACTGTGGAATACTTAATCATTGCCCTGAGTTTAGCTAGTTTGTCCTATGTCAGAGAGATGCTGGGGAATGTTGCTTCTGTGTATGACTTGACTCTTGTGATCTTATATCAGAGATCTGTGTACTGAGCCAAGAAAGCAATAGTTCCCACTCCCCCATGCCTATGGATGATGCATAACTCAATATTCTTGTTTATATAAGAGTTATAGTCACCAAAGTGGGCATATGGAAGAAAACTTCATAAAAATATATGATTAAGGGTTTTTTTATTTCTCTTTTTCCTCCTTCTTATCCTCTTCCTCCTCATCCTCATTCTTTAGCTCAGGATGGCTGAGAACTCACGATGAAACACAAACTGACTTCAAACCTCTTTCTGCCTTAAGCTCGTGAGTGCTGGTGTTGCAAGTAGATGGAAACAAATTTAAATGTTTAGTAAATAAGACACTGCTAAGCTCACAAGAGATAATGAGTATTGATCCCAGTCAGGGATGCTGAAGCCTAACTGAAGAAGTACTTCTTTATGTATAAAATAATACAGTTCAAGACAGTCCATTCAATATAGGATGTGAAGGTAGAAGTGGAGGTGTCTAGGAGAACTAAGAGGTCTCAGAGAGCAGTGGAAAACCCCACCTCCATTGTCCCTGCTGCTACCGGAGGCAAAAAGAGCCTGGGGAAGGTGTATACTGAGTACCCTGCCTTTAAAAGAAACATACTAAGTGGTCCTGAATTGCATCACTTTTCTTTGAAGCTTCTTTGTTTTCTTTGAAGGGAATATTTCTTTTGCCTGCTCTCTCTTTCTCTTGCTCCAAACATATTCTAAGTGTTCAGCTTCCAGAGATTTTTCCCTGATGTTCAAAATGTGATGGCTAAGGTGGACAGCAGCAGTTAGGTCACAGTAGGTCCTAAAGAAGCATTCAGTGACAAAACTACGACTTTTTAAAAGTTCCACTCCCCCACACCTAGTTGTTCACTTTTACTGTTTGTACCCTAAGTGCTTATCAAATGCACCCCCTTCCTTCCATCTCCTTTGCCCATAGCCATACTTCTTTCCTTTTGACTTGCAGCTCGTTCCCTCTTCTTGCTGTAGTCTGGCTCCAGCCCTTCTGTACTGATGTGAACTACTGTTCTTGTGTTCAAAACTTGGATGCTAACTTATGCTTTTCCTTACTCCACTGTGGCGTTTTGTGTTTATCAGATAACTATGTCTCTGCTCTTAATGTGCTCTTCCTCCTGCCATTTACTCTGTGTTCTCCCAAAATTTAACCAACAGAGATGACAAAATATAAAAGAAACATCAACTATTTCTATCAACAGAAAGAGAAGGGGAAAACTAAGCTGGCCATCAAAGCTTACCTACTTATTATCCATTCTGCTTACTTGGCACATCTTCTAGCACGTCACTGGTGAAGTGGAGAATAAAACTCATTTGGATGTTGGTAAAATGCTTTGCTATTAAAAGGCCTTGTAAATGTAGCTAGGCTCTGAGGATTAACCTGAAACTGAAAGCTGGAAACAAGTCTGGCTCAAAGCACGGAGGAAATGGGAAGAGCATTGAATAGCGACTGGCAGCTTGAATGGCTCCTGCATCACCAAGCTTCTCCAGGGTGTTCTTCCAGCACAACCAAGCAGATGCACAAGCTAATTCCGCCACAGTCTTTATTCCCTACAGGGTCAAAGTCCAATGTGAGCCATTCTATTCTTAACAGGAGGCCCTGCCTGCTTCAGGTCTCCATGGCTCCAACAATGCCAAAATAGGACCAATACTAAAATAAGACATTGTGCTATGCCCATTTCAGAGTTGCTTACAGTTAATTACTCGCGGATAGCATTATTCTAGCCTCAGGAAGCTCCTCTTGCACAGCTGATGAAGCACTCTGACCTCTATCTATAGCTCTATCCTAGAACTAAAGAAGAGGCCTAACAACAATGCAGAAAAGATAATCACACTCACTTTCTGTAATTCCATGGAAGTCGTCTTGTTTCTCTTACCAGACTGGAAACATCTCAAAAGAGTGATTGGGTCTTTTTATTGTGCCCTCAATTTATGACACAAATTAGGTACAATTAATGTGTAGTAAAATGGATGAAGGAAAAAATAAAATGAGCATAGTATTAAACTAACTCCTAATGACTTATTATCATACCCATAGATTAATGCTTCTTTTTGCAACAGATTGTGATTAATAGAGACCATGGCTGACCAATGCACAGAGGATAAGAAACTGAAGAATTCTTAGCTCTAAATGAGACATTTTTAATCACATCCCATACCTTTGGATACATTTGGGAGGGGTGGAGGAGTGTGTAAGAACCAGAAGTAATGGGTGACTGCAATGAAGCCACGTCCTCAAGACTTAAGACACAGCAGGGTGTGCGTGAACTCATAACGATTGTGACAGCACGTACAACCTCAAGCCAAGACAAATTCCAGCATAGAGGATGGAGGTGAACGGGAAGTCTCACCCCTAGCTGATGAGTCACTTGCAGTTGATAGCTTCTGGGAGAGGGAGCCAGTTTTCTTTGCTTCATGGTAAGTCAGTCACACTCTAGAGGGAAATCACACATCCCAGATGATATGGTCACATCCTGAACTTGATGGGTAAAAACAAAAACAGGACACAAAGTTGGATGAGTTGGGGGAGAGTGGATCTGGGAAGAGTTGGGGGAGGGGTGAATATGGTCAAAACTCATTTTCTGAAATTCTCAAAGAACTAAATAAGAAAGTGAATATAGCCTCTCTGTTGCCTGGAAAAGCTGTAGAGTGTGGGTTGAAGAGACGAGCTCCCTACTAGTAGTAGGCTCTCAACCTCCATCTTGAAATGTTGTCAGTCAGATTTATAATCCTCTTGTGGTTGTGTGGTGCTTTTGTGGTCACTGAAAAACAGTCCTTTTTACTAACATTTCTGTAGCCTCCAAATGTGCTTTGTATTAAGATGGTATATAACCCATTTGTCCCAGCTATGGGCTATGCAGTCACAATTTGTTCTCAGGGTGATTTCTACCCCACAGGGTATCATTAGAAATAAGGGTGTGTGTGTGTGTGTGTGTGTGTGTGAGAGAGAGAGAGAGAGAGAGAGAGAGAGAGAGAGAGAGAGAGAGAAAGAGAGAGAGAGAGATAACTAAGAAACATGAAGGTGTGTGACTAAGAGCTCAGACAGCATGGAGTTCAAATTCCACCTCTTCAATTCCTGCCTGAGCATTGTGAGCAAACAGCCTAATCCTCTTAATCGACACAATGAAGGCCGCAGAATCTTACTCTTGTGGATACTTTTATGTTTTTAAATTCCATTTTTCCACAGACAAAATGGAGGTAAAATGGTACTTGACAGACAAATGTGTCTGTAGGACTGATATAACAAGAATAATTATCTAAGAAGGCACCTGAAATTTAATAAGCAACTAAACACGTTCCTTTTTCATTTCAGAGTATGATTTCTGCACATATCCAAGTGACAGGCCCAGAGACTGCTCCTCTTCCGTTCTTAAGTTGACATCCCCATCTTACCCAGGTCATTAGTGAGGCTGCAAACACGGTGGTGGTCTGGAGGGGCTTGTACTTGTGCTGGCAACATTTTCAGGGAAAGCGGAGTAACTCAGTTGACCAAAGGCTTGCCAAGCATGTGTGAAATCCTGCATTTGATCTATGTAAAACCCTATGTAAAACCCCGAGTGTGAAGGTCCTGTAATCCCAGCCCTCGGGCTAGAGACAGGAGAGTGAAGAGATCAAATTCATTCTGTGCTACATAGTATGTTGGAGCCTAGCCTAGGATTTATGAAGTCCTGTCTTCAAAAACTTCTTATTTCGGGACAGTCAAAGCTTCTTGTGAACATCATTGTGTGAGAGTACAGGGTAGAGTAATTGGAATAAGATATTAGTTATAGATACCTTGTAGACATAAGATGTCACATAGATATTAAAAGGAGTTAGAAAATAGCTATAAAATAAATATATACACAAAGAATATATTCTCCATAACTTTTTATTGATTTAGCTGGAAATGATAAATCTATATATTTAAATATATTATAGATAATGTATACACATAATATGCATGTATATATGTATACAGCATGTGCATATTCCAAATATAATTACATATATGGTATATAACCAGGCATATATATCAAAATATCTGAAGGCAATTACTTCCTTGTGACCTACTGAGCTCTAACAATACACTGAAAACTTGCTATTTTACTCTTGAGTGGGTAAATTCATAGAGAATAAAGAGAGGGAAACAATAGCTGCTAATACAGGAAATTTTAGAGCCAGCCAGGAGGCGGCCAGGACTTCCTCCTGCCATGCCATTGCGGCGGGACCACAGCTCCCAAGTTGTGCAACGCCTTCAGTAAACACTTGCTCATGCGTACACAATGAAGCAGGGAGTTTCATTCTGTCTCCCTTAAGAGGAGGCTGGGGCAGAAGCAGCCTTACAGGTGTGAGCGGAGGCAGGCACTGCTCCTGGGACCGCAGCATGTTGCAATGGAGTCTTCTGGTAGTCTCATTCCTCCTTTCGCCAGTTCCAGGTAGGTGTTAACCCTTCTCTGGGTTCAACATGTCTCTGTTCAACATGTCACAGGACTACATGCTAGCCAGCCGCTCCTAGTCATAGGGTATATAATACATTGGATAGCTGTTTATTCCCTTTGCCAGTTTTTCTAGCCTTTTTGGTTTTAAGCTGTGGTTTGAAGGCTGTGATGGACGTGAAAGAGGGTAAATCGAGGTTTGTGTGAAACATTTATTTTCAGCTGCTACTTTAAAAGAGAAAAGGAATCTCGTATACATTGAAACCATGAATATGATCTTTGAATCAAAACCAAAACAAACAAGCAAACAACAAAAAACCCACAAAGCTATCAAAACCAATTGTGTCAACTTTTAGGTCAAAATTTGAGTGGTCATGCCCATCAAGGATTTGAGAAAGTATCTGCTCTTATAATGGGGGCCAATTCAGCAACTTAAAATACTTTGGACAGCACGTTTTTAGGCTCAGTGGTGATGCATGCAGTTAATTGGCAGGATGCTGTGCTCAGTTTTGTGAGAAAGCATTGTGATGTTGTTGGTGAGGAGGAGTCTCAGTTAGGTGTGTTGATAACCTTCCCTTACAGTGGTTACAGCAGACACCTAAGAATTTAAATGCAGTGAATTCTCCTTCATTCCACGTTCTAGCAAGTAGGTTGTACCATTTTATAAATTTTCATCTTAGGCTCACATGGCTGGGACCTGACAACATATTTCTCTAGTTTTTCTGTGTCTGTGTCTGGAGCTTGAATCTTCATCCTAGCTGGCAAATGTTTTCCTGGATCATGGAATGTTTTCTGGGACCGACCCAGGAATGAATGAATGGTGAACAGAAGTGACAGCACCAAGCACAAAAAGGTTGTCTTCCTCCCTGACCTGCTCTGCACCTTCTTCCTAAAAATGACTTCTCCTTTGTTTCTCAGACTTGTAAAAAGTGTACTTAACACCCTTGAATTTTAGGATACTATTATATCCTTAAATATATGAGCTCTTGACTTAAAATTCCTATTTGGATTAGCAGGAATTGAAGTGTTTGTAGGGATTCCTTCCTCATATTTTCCAAAAAGATTGTCCCCAGTGTTGTTGGGGACACCACTCTAAGTAGGAACAGAACTGCTTGGGAGTCAGCTCTGCTCAAGGGGAGAAAGATTCAGCAGATCCAGTGATAGCCTCACAAGTGATGCATGCATGCTTCTGTCATTTCAGGGACATCTGGTAGAAATTTCCAGAAACAAGGCTGTTTCTGCTCCTCCCACTCTATATCAGAACATGGCAGCAAGAGATGCAAAGTCTTAGAGTCCCCCCCCTAGAAGTGTGACGTCATTCTGGCTGGAAAACCAGTCCTTACTGGGAGCAAGGGTTTTCCAGCCAGAATGCAAGAAACAAAAGATTTGTTTTCTTACCTCTTCCTCTTTATTTCTCCCTCTACATCATCCGTATTCTATGTATGTGCCTTCTGGCCCTATCTTTTACCTGGTTCCACTAAAAATAAAAGAAAAATATGTAAAATTGGGCCAGATGTTTGTAATTAACTTCCCCGTTCCCTGAGAAAAGTGACATGGGATTTCATCATACGAAAAGTAAAAACACATATTTAAAAAGACACGGAAAATGTTTAGGGGAAGAGCAAATCAAAAGACAAATCTCCATCCCGTTTGTCCAGGGAAGCAGTGACTTTAAAAATACATTTATTTTAACTAGCAGTTATTTCTGGCCTTTAAAAAGTGACTGGAAAAGGTAAGCTATTATTCACAACTTAACCTATATAGCCAAATAATAGACTTCATTAGGATATGGACTCTAGTTTCCTCCTATACTCACTTTTCCTGAATAATGCTTACAAGTTCAAGAGTCTGAGTGGGACAGAGAGTCAATGTTATAGCATAAACTTGCATTAAAAGCTTGATGCCTCATTTGAAAAGACAACCCTGGCACATTTTTTAACAGAATTGGAGCAACATGCAGATGTCAATATTATGCACAAATGTCCCCCAAACGAACCCAGATAGAACGGCATTCTAGAATGAGGTCAGCCATGTCAATCTCATTAGTGAGTCTTGCTTAATTTTAAACTAACAAACAGTGAAAATAGTCTGATCCACAACCACAGACTTGCTCCTCTAACTCAAGCCAAACTGGCTGTCTTCTCTCTCTTGATCCAGTTTTGCCAGTCAACACTATTTCAACACATGAGTTCTGTGGGAGAGAGAAAGCAAACAAGCATTCAAACAAATTTAATAGAAACATATTGTGTTACGCCTTGGATTTGTGTAATCCCTGGATGGCAGTTAGTTAGCTCTGTTTGTGCCACTGGCTTCTAAATAATTAACTGGATTTTATTCACCTGGGAGGAGGCTGCCTCATCTCCATCAAATGCAAGGATGCATGAGGCAAACAAGATTTGTGTCTACTCCATTCCTTTCTATGCTGTGGAAATCCCGATACCTCAGATAGCCTATTTCTAGGGTCTTCTAGCTTTCAGGAGAACCGGAGCCTTTTGAGAGAAACCCTATCTGTTTTCTTTAGAGAACGGACTGTGTTGCAAGGGTTTGGAATGAACTGGAAACTTAACTCATTTTATATAGCTAAGCGATGTTGCTAAAGACTTTAAAAAGAAACACTTTTGTTTGTTTGGGTTTCTTCTTGGACGTGCCTCCCCACCGAAGAGTGGGTTGGAAATAAATTTTGTGAGTAGTATACATTGTGTTGAGTCCAAAGTTAAGAACAAGTTGGAAGCTTTTGGTTTCGTGAACTGTTAGGCTTTCAACTAACTGGAAGCGTATGTTCAACGTGTATGGCACCAAAAGGGGCTTGCTGTTAGATGGGGTGACCTAGTTCCCTGTTCACTTTCTCCCCAAAGAGAAGTGGGGCTGCTGTCACATTCTCTCTATAGAAGGGTCATGTGGGGTATTGTCATCACTTTATGACTCAAAGGGAGCTTCAGCTGATTTCCTGTTAGAACTACACTTGTTGGTTGAGCCCAATTGGTTTGATTTTTTGTCATCAAAAAATAATGAAAAGAGTTTATGTATGTGGGTATTTTATCTGCATGCATATTTGCTTGCAGAGGCCAGAAGAAAGTGTTGGGTCTCAGAGACAGTTGTACATCTCCAGGTGGGTGTTAGGAATAGAAACTGCATCCTTAGGAAGAGTAACTTAAACACATGTGCCATTGCTCCATCCCTCCAATATGGCATTTAAAAAAATTAAAAAGTTATTTCTACTTTGTAATTGTGAGTCTGTGAGGGCATCTGAGTGTGTATGTATATGTGTGTGTGTGTGTGTGTGTGTGTGTGTGTGTGTGTGTGTGTGCAGAGTGCAGGTATCTGTACAGACCAGGAGAGGTAAGAGGCCCCAGAACTGGAGTTTCAGGCAGTTGTGATAGGAAGTGAATTTGGGGTCCTCTGAAAGGGCAGGAAGTGTTCTTAACTACTGAGCCATCTCCCCAGCTCCATGCCTCCCCTTGTATGGCATTTCAAGAAAAGAATTGTTGTTGCTCAAGTATTAGTGAGAGATGGCTTCATAATCAACATTCCGGGACTAATTGCGACGATTAGACACCATAATACACCAGGCAACACACTGGCACCGTATGGCGTGCTTGTTCTGTGCCAGTGAATTAAAAGAGGCTGCAGGGAATTGTACCCGTGCCATTAGCTCATTTATGGCAAGAGCTGTTTCTTACCTCATGGCATCTCACTGTTCTGAAGTAATCACAGAATTTTAGCAGGCGAGAATGACCATCCCATGTTTTAGAACATTAAAATGTTATTTTTGTGCCCAATACTATTACTTTTTTCAAATTAAAATGAATTGCATATATATTTAATAAAAGTTTGTATTTCATTCCATAGAAATAAAAAGTACAGTGATTACCTCATGACTGCAAGAAATGAGCAACCCAAGAATCTTGTGGACTGGGCTTAGAGATGTAGGTAGAGAAGCCCAGCTTTGGGATTTGGAAGAAGAAGGCTCTTGGATTTGAGGCTAACCTAGTGGGGCGGGGGAAAATGAAGAACAAACAAAAAGACAGAAAAAAAGAAAGAAAGAAAGAAAGAAAGAAAGAAAAGAAAAAGAAAAACTTTGTATTACTATAGAAGCATGATAAAGAATTACTTGTCACAGCTGATGAAAATGTATTTTAATGAGCGTGGCCCTTTTGAAGACATTATAGTGGTTTGTGTTTGTTTGTATACTATTATAAACTACTTGAACATGTCTTAATCTTCCCTCACATTCCAGGTAGTTAAAATTTTCCACATCTAAAATTAAGATATTGTAATTCTGCACATGACTTTAAATGCTTTTATTTATTTACATATTTAAAATTTTTGTGTATAAGGATGTTTTGCTTATATGCATGCCTGTAGTCCACTTGCAGGCCTGGTGGCCAAGGAGGCCAGAAGACGGCATCAGATTTTCTAGACAACAGTTACCCACATTTGTGAGCTGCTTTTCTCCTGTGGGTGCTGAGAATAGAACCTCGGTTCTCTGCCAGAGCAGCCAGAACTCTTAACTGCAGAGCCACCTCTTCAGCCTTAGCTTTGTTTTTGAAAACGTATTCAGTAAACAGTAAGGCATGGAGAGAACGCTTCTTTCCTTCATTATCTTAATTGCTATTTTGACTCTGAGTGCATCCTTAGAGCTTAATGAGGTTTCCTAATCTCCTGGGTTAAATGGTTCTTGTGCGATCAAATGAACTAAAAACATTCCAAACCGACATCGCTAGAATATTTTTTTTTTAAATTTTGCTTCAATTTTCATGAAAATAAAATGAAAAGGAATTAATGCTTATTCGCTGAGAAGTCATTGCGCTAAGCTGTCAAGTGCTATCCTGCTTGGTGAACTCTGTCATCTATGTCTTCTATTGGGTGGGCAACAGTAGTATTGGTTTACATAACCGTAAATGCTTGATCTGGGAGCTAGGTTTGCCCTCAGAGAAACTCCAAAGAATGACACAGAGAAGAAAAGGAAGCTTTTTTCTAGACCCTACTGCAGGCATCCTGCCTCTGTTCTCTGAGCTCCACTGGGTCTTCATTCCAAGTAGGCCTTTAGGCACCAGCAGCAGCCAGAGTGGGACCACTCACATTTCATCCAGAGGTACCCACAGAGAGCTGGGAACACATCATGTGGAGAGCAAAAAGAAAAATTAAAAATCAAGTTAAAAATATGGAAAGCTCTGGATTTCTCTTTAGCAGAGTTTCCAGAAAACGCTTGGTCCTGAGCCTCTGAGATGTGGATTGGTTGTTTGAGGTGACTTTCTATTTTCCTCACGGTGTGAATCTGGCCTCCAACTAGCTCTGCCCAGATCAGTGCCTCTGTTCGGATTCTCTACTTCTCAAATTTTCTTATTTTTCTATGCCAAAAATGAAGGCTTGTCAGGACTGCTCACGATAGCCCTTTCTATGATCCTAGCATCAGAGCTTTTTTCTTACGGGGACTATGTTTTAAATATTACTGTTGAAACTTCAAAGGAACATGTGTTTTGATCAGAAAGGGTGTGCATCTGATTCCATTTTCATAGCAGCGAGGTCCTGGAGCATTTCTACTACATTATCATGGGAGTAACCAGCATCCACGGGGACTGAATGGTGCTTAGCTTGTACTTGTCTCGTTCTCCTGCTGTAGAGTCACTGCCCGGATCCAAAAGGGTAAAAAGAAATGGGAACATTAACAAAAAAATGTTGTCCTCAGAGAGACACTTGGAAATCCCTCCCTGAGAAATACCGAAGGACAGAGATTAAATATTGGGGTGGGGTGGGGAATGGGTTTCTGGTGTTCTCCAGCTTTCCCTGTGTCAGGACACAAACCCCTGGAGGGCTCTGTGTGGCATCACCCATCTTGGTGGCCACTTCTGAACAGCTGCTTCAGGCCCACAGCTTCATCTTCTCTTCCTTCTTTCTCCGCCAGTGAGTGCGGCCAAAGAACTCCCCAAGGCCAAGAATTATGAAGTGGTTTATCCCATAAGACTTCATCCATTGCGTAAAAGAGAGACCAAAGAGCCAGAGCCAAAGGTTAGTACATCTGTGATTGTCTTCTTTCTTGTACATGCAGCTGATGTGTATGTCTGTGCACATATGAATGCATGTGAGAACATGTAGGGGAGGCCATAGTCATGCCTACATTGTCTATCATGGTATCCACTTTGTTGAGAGTCTCTCAATGGACTGGAACACTCTCATTCACAATTAGGCTGGTCAGGGAGGATCTACCTGTCTCCATGTCTTTTTGCTGAAATTAGAAGCATGGACCGTCAATGCCAGGCTTTTTAAAGAGCTGGATTCTGGGCATAGAACTCAAGTCCTAATGCTTACATATGAAGCACTTTACCAACTGAGCCATCTCCCAGGTAACTCTTTTGGTTTTCCAGTGACTCTTGAATACACACACACACACACACACACACACACACTCTTGTTTTTTTATATAGTCATATATGCATATATATTTCTTTGGAGACTAACAGTATTAATTATTATATTAATTTGTTTCCCAAGCTTTTATTTTTCACTACAGCCCAAAGTTCTTCTAACTTCATTTAATACATTAAGATTCTGATAAGTGATATGTGTAGTCAGAGTACAAACTTTGATATTTTATAATAATTTATGCTGTAGTCTTCCAAATAACTATATATGACTTACATGTAGTATTATTTACCTATCTACCATCTACCCACACACATAATTATTGCCTTAAACTAGAATCTAAACCAGAATCAGAAAATAAAACATTGCAAAAGACTATAAATTAACATTTTTGTCTGAAATTTGTACCTTTTCTATGTAGAAAGCGTTAAATTTTGTATAATTCCCCTATTGTAACGAAATAGCACATTGTCAGGCAGCAGTAGCTCAAATTTTTAATTAGTCACAAGAAGAAAGCTAAAACATGATATGCAGATCTGGGCATGGCAGTGTACACTTGTAATTCACTTGTTTGTGAGTTGTGAGTTGGATATCAGCCTGGGCTATATAGTGAGTTGTAGGCCATCCTGAACTATACTTGGAGGGCCTATTTGCAAAGTAAATTATGATGTTCCATTCACCAACAACTTGCTAATTATGTACATTCTGCAACATTTGGTGGGAGTCAAAAACAGAGAGATAGATGGATGTCACTGAACTGAAATCATCTGAAATGCAACTACTCAGGAGTGCATATTCCCCTATCAGAAATTTCTTCATTCAATTTCTTTCAACTCCAATTGATGCCCGTGGAGCTCTTAGGAAAGTCTGTGCACCAGGCTTTTTCCTTTGGGGCCACCAACCAGCTCCCAAATCATGACATGGGGACGTCTTATTAATTATGAATGTTTGTCCTAGCTTAGGTTCATTTCTGCCTAGCTCGTTAATGTAAATTAGCTTGTTTCTGTCTACCTTTCGCCTTGGTTTTCTTTTTTTAAACCTTTCTTCCTTTCTGTATGCCTTACTTCCCTGTTTCCTCTAGTGTCTGTCTGTGTTGTGACTGCCTGTCTTCCTGCCCTTGGAGGAGTGGAGAAAGCTCTCTTTCTCCCTCATTCTCTTCTCCTTCTTTTTTCTTCTTCTCCCTTTCTCTCAAGCCTAGATTTCTCCTCCTGCTTATTCTCTCTGCCCACCAATCCTGCCTGTCCTTTCTCTGCCTAGCTATTGGTGATTCAACTTTTTATCAGTCAAATCAAGTGCCTTAGGTAGGCAAGGTGGAAGCAGCAACACATCTTTTCATAATTAAACAAATGAAGCATAAACAAATATAGAACATCCTTACACCATTAAACAAATGCAGCATAAACAAATACAACACACCTTTACACAGATAAAGTAATATTCTGCATCAAAAACAAATGTAACACATCTTTACCTAGTAATTGCCACAACAAGTCTCTTTCCCAAAATATCTTTAGCAAGAAAATGTCCCACCAACTCTGATGGAATCCATCTGCAGCAGAGTCTTCTTCAAGGAAGTTTTCTTCAAATAACTTTTTTCAATATAAAAAATGTCAGCTACATTTTTTTTCTGAGTGCTTTGAGGAAGTTTGAACATAGGTAAAGTGAGTTTATCACAGCTATGAAATGATTTCCTCATAAATCAAACTTTTATTTGAAATTTATATTTTTGAGAGGAAACCATAGATTAGTCACTGGCTATGGTAGATGGTCAATTAGTTCTAAATTTTTCTATACATATGTGCCATGTGTCTGTGTGTATATATGTGCAAGTGCAGATAGTTACTGTAAAGGTCAAAAGAGGTCATCAGACCCCTTGGAGACGGAGTTACTGGTGCTTGTGAGCCACCCTTCTTAGGTGTTAGAAGCCCAACTGGGGTCCTTTGAAAGAGCAGCAAGTGCTCTTAACAAAGGAACCACTCCTCCAGCTCACAATTTTGATCTTTAGAGTGATTTCACAGAGGGATGTGTATGATGTTGTGTGCTTGGTTTTACTGCAGACACATTGCTTGTCTAGGTTGCCTCTGAACAGCCACACAAGCCTTACATTATTCTGATGTATGGTGACCTAGTGGCAAGGGTGAGTGTGTGTTCATGTTTCATGTTTAGCTTTGCCAATTCTCCTGTTGAAAACTCTGACGTTAAATAATCCTCTGTCTTCAAGTGCATATAATAATGGCGGTGGTACTGTGTGGAAAATGGAAGATTTAACTTGTGCAAAGTGAAGTTGGTTGAAAATAACTACTCTGCCTGTGGTACCCACGGTGTCACATGCATTATGACACATTTTCAAGGGTTTTCTGGTTTCTGTGAGTGGGCTCTTTTCACTTCTTCTTCTTCATGACATCAGCTATTTGAAAGTCAGTGTTGGTGCTGTCTTTTCTCTCCTCCCTAGGGCTTATGTCTGACTCTCTACCCTTTCTTGTGGATTCTTTGCCACTTAAATGTTTACACACACACACACACACACACACACACACACACACACACACACACACATTTCTGTGTCTCTTTCTCCCTCTCTCTCAATCATCTCATATATTCTGTAAAGTTATTGTGGTATATTTATGTGCAGACTAACAGAATCATTTCCTGAAATCATACTTCATGGCTTGTCTTACACAATTTAGTTCTTGATTCCAAAATAACGTTCGTTTTACAAATATAGGGTGGTGTGTGCATATCGGATGTATGTGTGCATGTGTCTATGAGAGTAAATGCAACCTTCCCTTCTAGTTTGAAGCTATTTACTTAGGTATTTTAATTTTTATTACATCTATTTATATATTTATTTGTTTAGTGTGTATAAGTGTATATGTACATGTGCATATATACATGAGTGCATATATGTATATGTAAGTACAAATGTGTGTGGGGTGTGCATGGCATGATGCTTCTGTGGAACTCAGAGTGGAAAGGCAGGAGTTGTTTCATGCTTTCGGTCACATGATACTAATGACATAGTTCAGGTTGCTGGGCAACCCTTCACCCACCTACTAAGTTAAAGGCACTTTCTATGTCTTTGGCATGTCCCCACTCCCCCACTCCCTCCCTCATTCCATCCTCTATCCTATGTTCCGGAATATAAATATTTGTTTCCATAAACACTTGGTGATCCAAATAAAACCTTTCCAAGAATATCAAGACTATATATAAAGATATCAGATAAGGGGCCTAGAATGGAACTCAGTGATAGAGCCCTTAGCCAGCATTTCCAAGATTCTGGGGTCAGTTCTCAGCACACACTCACACATGTACACACATGTATACACAGAGCTTATTTGTCTGTTTAGCTGGTGGATTGATCTACTGCACAGGATAGAGACCAGTGGTTCTCGACCTTCCTGGTGCTGTGACCCTAAATCAGTTCCTTTGATTGTGGTGACCCCCAACTATAAAATTATTTTCCTGTCTACTTCCTAGTTACAATGTTGCTACTGTTATGAATTGTAATGTAAATATCTGATATGTGGGCTATCTGATATGTGAACCCCCCTGTAAGAGGGGTCATGACCCACAGGTTGAACACTTCTGGTTTAAATAGACAGCTGATCTCACAGTCCACTGCTAGAGATTAATAAATAGAAATTGCCATTGGTTGATCATAAGTAAATCTTGGTGTGTTTTTGCAGGAAGCATTTGAAACTGAGCTAAGGTACCAAATGACAATCAATGGAAAGGTGGCTGTCCTTTACCTGAAGAAGAACAAGTGAGTATGTGTCCAGCTTCTGCGGTCCTCCCCCGTGACAGGCTACAGTGGGGGAAGTGTGCCGGCAGGGGTTGTCATGAGCTTTAGTGCCTCCAATGCTTGACCCTCCGGCCTTCCCTCCCAAGGAGCCCAAGGAGCCAGCCAATGTGCTTTTCTCTTGAGTCGTAGAAAGGCATTAGGTAAATTAATAGTTTACTAGGCTTTTGAAACTTTATAAGTTGAACCCAACAATAAGGTGCAGGAAGACAGGTTAGATTGTTTTACCAAGGACTGGAGTAGTTCCAGTATAATTTGCTTTAAGTTTTGCTTAAGTTTGTCCGCTTCTGTGCTTGAGAGAGGGCCTCATGTTACTGCCCTTTGGAAAGGACTGGGGCAGAGGGGGGCGGGTAATGCTATGCCTTTGTGCCAAACTCGATGCAGTAACTGCTTTCTGCCACCTTTGACCTCGGTTCTGCTTCTTCTCAAGTTTCTCCTGGGAATAACAACCAAGTCCCCTGTGATGAGGGGCTTTTTCCAAAGCCCTCTGGAATGTCCTAGCCCCTCCCCCGCTCCCTAGCCCTCTGGCCTGACCAATGTGAGCAGTATTTTCCTGTGTAGACTTCTCCAGCACATAGGGGAAGCTGAGAAGTTAACATTTGTCTCCATGGCCTGACCTGGGAAGGCTTGTTCATTTGCTGAACTTTCACAGTTGACATGTGTAACCGTGCTCTTTCTCTTTCTCCAGCAAGCTCCTGGCACCAGGCTACTCGGAAACATACTATAATTCCAGTGGAAAGGAGGTCACCACAAGCCCACAAATCATGGTAAAACTGCCCCCCAGGTTCCCTACTAATGGAGTGCACCCTGCAGGCTTACCTCCAGTGTCCTTGCCAGGCACGCAGGGCTGGAACTGCTTTTACAGTTTTGGTGTTCTTTTTTCTCCGGTAGCAATAATTACTTAATTGATCTTCTCACATTATTATATTTTCTTAAGAATGATGAAGGATGACCCCAGGAACCTTTTCCAGTTTTCATGGGAGGCAGGCAGTAGAACCTCACATGTTTTAAGAGTTGTTTTCTGCGAGGAACTCTGCAACATGAAGAGATAAGCATGCTTTGTTATCACACCTCCAAATTATGTGGTCTGTCACACTGAAGACTACTTTAGCATTGATGTGGGATTCCCCTCTGTATGCTGTGAATGTGTTTATTATCACTGGTTAAAAAGGAAACTGCTTTGGCCTGTGATAGGGCAGAATAAAGCCAGGCAGGAAAGAGATATATAGAGATAGCAGGTGGAGTCAGGGTTACGCCATGGAGCTGCTGAAGGAGAAGGACTCTGGATCCTTACTGGTAGGCCACAGCCTTGTGGTGATACATAGATAATAGAAAGGGGTCAACTTAAGATATAAGAGCTAACTAGGAATACACCTAAGCTATTGGCGAAATTGTGTTGTAACTAATAAAGTTTCTGTGTGATTATTCCTGTCTTGGCAGTCAGGAAATGAATGAACAGTCTCCATTTACATAATAGCACCTGACAGGAAAGAAAGACACAGTCTCCTTTTACACAACATCAATTGTAGAACTCCATATTGTCATAAGTAACTCTGCTCTTGATCTGTCCCCTGAGCTCTCCATGTGGCACTTGTTACATGGAACCCATAACTGTGTAGCAAAGCATCTACCTCAGATCTTCTTTTGCTGTTGTGAGCCTTCAAACTTTCTGGGATTATGTAGGCACATTGCTTCCAAGATAGAAGGCTCTGGTGTGGAACAGCCACATGGAGAAATAACTCTGGAACTTTGCTCCAAATAGAATCACAGCCTGTTGTGTAGGTTCATTTTAATCTAGTTTGACTCTTTGGACAAACAACCTGAATAGCCCATAGGTTTAAAAAGGGATGGGGGAGTGGTCACTCCAAATTGGAAAAAGTACAGAGAGTAATACATTTTTATAGAAGGAAAGTAAAAGTTAGATTTTTGGAGACTCAGATTTTAAACTTAGATAACAAAATCCATTTATTCTTTAAATAGTGCTCAGCTATTTTATTATTACTAATATATTATTAGTAATACACTATTACTAATACATTACAATAATATATAGAATGTACTATATAATGTATAATGTTATATAGTACACTATATTTACAGTACTATATATAATACACACACTGCATTATATAAGCATTTAGGGAGTCATTAACTATCATAAATAATTTAATACATAAAATGTTTGTATTTAATTTTTTTAAAAAGTCTCTAACTTAACTACTGTGCAGCAGAAAGCTGTTCCTATTCAAAGATTTCAAATCCCAATGGGATGTGGAGTCTAAAACCTCTGAAAGTCTGAAGACTTTCATCTACAAAATACCTTTCATTCCCCTTAGGTTAACTGTTACTACCAAGGACACATCATAGATGAGGAAGCATCTGAAGCCAGCATCAGCACGTGTGACGGTCTACGGTGAGACTTCAGGAATCTTTCCACATCCCACTGGCATAGAGGTCGTGTCTGAAAAGTCCGAAGAGCCCCAAGTATAACTAATTACATGATGTAGTTAAGTGTGATTCCTAAAGGCCACACGATTTTGAATTTCACACCAACATATCATTTCTTTTTAAGCATGAAAATTATATGACTGAACCACCTTCTGTTTTGTTTTTGTTCTTTTTCTCAATTAAAAGTGAAGGTTTTTTTAGACCCAGTTTTATAGTCAGACTCTGTGAGAGTGTAGGGGCTCCTCTAACCTCTCCTCACATTTATTCATCTCGAGCTTTATTCTTAAGAACATCTGCATCTTTCTGTGCGGTTAGTGACTCCCCATGTACTGGTCTAACCCATCAATACCAAGAACTGACCCATTTACTTTTCCACACTTCTAGTTGGATACCTTAAAGAAGAATTCAAGCTTTAATGTGCTCTAAACTAAGTCAATCAGTTGTCTCATAAGTCATTATTTTCCCAGTGTTCTTGACCTCATGAGTGGAATAATCATTATAACTTAACCAGTCAGGCATCATGAAGTCTTTGAAGAGTCCCTGCCTCCGCTCTCTAGCCTCCATTCCCTTATCAAGCTGCAGTGATTATACCTTCTAGTTACATCCTGTTGGTTCACCACGTCTGTCTCTACTGAAATGTCCTACTTTAACTACCATGCACTACAACCGAACCATCTGAACGAAGCACACACACTTGCTGTCTTGCAGTTTTAGACACTGTATACTCATGCATTTCTACTTCATACTAATTAGATATAGTTACTAAATAACCACATATACTTTTAAAAGTATTTCTCCACATTCATTTTCCTCATTTTGAATATAAGGTTCATGAAGGGAGAGACTGTGGACACCTTTTATTCCCCACTTTTAGTACAGTGCTTAATAGTCTCACTAAATACAATGCAGACCAATTTTAAGCCATTGGAACTCTAGATTAAGTAAGGAGTAAAAACTCCTTAATTAAACTGGAATTGCTTGTAATTTAAACAAAAGCTAGTAGGCCTTAAAAACAATGTAGTGAGCAACCATCCGTAAATCAGCTTCAGTACCAGGGATTGCGAAGACTCTGGAAATCTCCCCTGGCCACAGGCTCACCTGCTTTGTCTGTCCACCCCTACCACCTCCATCTAGTCCTTCTATTTTCTAGTTTATAGACCAAAAAAAAATGAGGCTGCTTAATTAATGATTTCTGGATTCTTGGTAATCAGAACAGGCCTAGAATTTAAATCCCTCATAAGACTCCAAAGCGACTGTCCCTTTCAAACCCCTGTAGTGTAGGAACTGGATGAAAAGCAGGTTCTGTATCAGGAAACCCCCTCCAGAAACAGGAAAGTTGGGTTACTTTGTTACCATAAGATTAAACTTCTTTGGCTTTGGCTAGGAAGTCATGAAGACATTGAAGACACTGTGTCTGTGTAACTGCCAAAGAATACTTTCCTTAAGAAGTCTGGATTCTTATGCTTCTTAGGGGCTACTTCAGTCAAGGAGATGAACGATATTTTATCGAACCTTTGAGATCTGTGAGCCCGGATGAGCACGCCCATGCAGTCTTCAAAGATGACCCCAACGAAGACCAGGCTAACAGCAGCTGTGGTGTGGATGATGCGCGGTGGCAACAAGGGCTGCATGGGAACATGGTCCCACCTGCCACCAGACTGATTGTATGTAGAGTTTGATTGTTACTAGTATTTTAGCTTTGTGTCCTAACCTGCATTCTAATCCTTCCCCTTTCTTCTTCTCATATGCATGTGTGCTGTATGTGCAGTCATATGTGTATACATGACCCTATGTGTGTCTGTAGAGACCCCTGGTTGATGTCAAGTATTTTCCTCAAATGATCCACAACTTCAATATTGAGCCACTGTTTCTTGATGAACCCAGGCTGTGCCATTATTGATCCTCTGCCTAGCTAGGTTGCTCCAGGAATAATCTGTCTCTGCTCTTTCTGTACTTGGATTAAAGGCAGGCTGCCACACCCACGAATCTTTCATAGTGGGTTTAGGGATCTTAATTCCAGCATTCACATTTTCACAGGGAGGGTTATATCTGTTCAGCCACCTTTCCAGCCCTTGGTTCTGATCTTAGCAGTGTGCTTGGTTCACATTTTATAGCCAATAATGAAACTAATAATTTATACTTTTACTAATGGAAAAAGTTGTATGTTGCTAATTCACTTAATATGAATCTGTGCACAACTATTATCATCAACCATATGTGAAGGCTAAAAAGAAACCTGAGCTATGATACAGGACCGCGAGGAGCAGACAGCACTCTCAGTGCCGTCTGAAGCTTGCCACAAAGCACACACATGTAAAGACTTCTTTTGAGGTAGAAATATGGTGGATTTGTGCTCAAAGATATTCAGTGTTCTAGAAATGCAGTAACAAGCAATATAAACATAGGGTATACCTTTAGGAACACAGAATGTCTCTTTTTTGGAGAACAAATTTTAAAAAGATTTACTTATGTATTTTGTGTATAAGAATCAGATCCCATGATAGATGGTTGTGAGTCACACATGGGTTCTTGGAATTGAACTCAGGATTTCTGAAGGAGCAGCCAGTGTTCTTATCTGCTGAACTGTCTCTTCAGCCCCAAAGAATATTCTTTTTTGTATGGAATCCTGTTCTGACCACAGAAGAAGAAACAATCCCAGCTGTTTCCAGCTGTGTGGTGTGCACTAACATGTTCCTGTCCGTTTACTTTCATTGCTTGATGATCTTTTCCAAGTGTTCCCAGAATCTGGGAGTGCTTCTGGGTAAAATTGGAGGCTATTCTCTTTGCTATGGATTGAATCTTCACCAACCTTATCTAGGAACCCAGAAGAATTTGCCCTGGCTACATATTTCTCTCAGTATCATGCTGATTCTGGTTGGCACTAGCTTCTGCTCTTCCATCTTGATTCTTAGGGATCATGTAGAAATGGCCTTGCTTTTCAAAACCACTGCTGTGCTGACTTTCCGGAATATCTTTCTTTCACCCTTCTTCTGGTTGGTCACTTGATATTAGAAGTCCTTGGCAAACTGTTCCCTGTGTTTTGCTTTTTCAGTGAGTTCTTAACGGGTAATCTCATCTTGTCCCACACCTTCTTTCCTTCAGTGGGTCACTGTAGGTCTAGGATATAGCTTAGTTAGTAGAATGCTTTCTATCCATCTCTTCATGTATTTCAGTTCTGCACTGGGCTCCCAGAGAGCAAGCATCCCAAGATCACCATGACAACAACTTGTATCTATCCCTTGTATGTCTTTTCCCATCCTAGCAGAATCTCCTCTCCCCGGCCTAGGTTGAGTGATGCTTCATTATAAAGTGCATCATGTAAAAGCCCCTCGGTGGCTTTCTACTCATCACATTTAGCAGACAGTTCCAACCACTGCTGCTAGTCACAGATGTCTGTCTGAGTCTGTCTAGTATCCCCTACTTTGTATGTCTTCTTCCTATGAATTTTTTATTCCATTATTCTGATGAAAAAGCAACATTTTTTCCTGTTTGATTTTTAAAAACATATTACCGTCAATTAGCCAAAGAGATTGGGATTTTACATTTTTTTCCTTCTCTGGTTTACATTCCAATTATTTTCATTTCTTGGGTTCCTGTTTTTTTGAGTATTCCATATAGTTCAAGTCTTTTAAAACACATCTTTCCACTCTCTATTTTGTAATCATTATCTAATCACCCAACTTCAATCACTCATTGACTCCATTCCACAGCACTAATTACTAATCACTAATTGATGTGTGTGTGTGTGTGTGTGTGTGTGTGTGTGTGTGCGTGCGCGCGCGCGTGTCAGTACAGGTGCAAGTGTGTGTTTGTCTCTTGTGAGTTACTAAGCTGATGGACTGTGGTGTTAGAGTTAAAACAGCAATATTGTCTGTCGTGATTGTCAGGTACAATCTAACCTCTTCTAAGATGGCACATGCAAAATAAAAGATCCACAGAGAAACTTATTGTCTTAGTCATGGTCTTTCTTTTATTTCAGAAGCTGAATGGTGGGATGGCCCAGGAACCTAAGACATATATTGAATATTATTTGGTCCTGGATAATGGTGAGGTAATTACATTGGATAAACGCATCTCAAAACATTCTCTTGTGCATAACTTAATGTGTGAAGCAGAAATGTCTAGCTCCATTTGGAATTCAGAAATATGAACCATACAGAGAAATCATTCTAAGTCTATGAAATTGATATTTATAATGAAATTGACAGATGTTTCTTCTCAGAAATAAGCAACTGACAAATATATATAAATCTCATTATTGGCCCTATAAATCTCTTTTCTTACTGTCTTTAGAGATCCAAATTTAGTTCCCATTTAAACTCCTTCATCATGTTGTCATTGGTAAAGCAGTTAATTTGCAATGTAGGATTTATGCTCTGGAGGAGGCAGTCATAAGTGCAGAAGCCCTGTGGATGGGCTCTTTGAAGAAAGGCAACCCTTTCTTGGTAATAGATCCCAGAAGATAATTTCTTTTCTAGGAACACATTTTCTAATTGTGAGTTTCTAAACAAGTGCTCTGTGTGTTTAATGCCAAAAAGAAAATGCTTGGATATCAAAACTAAGGGGAAATTACTTAGCCCAGAACCCAAATCTCTGGTCTTATTGCATTAGATACATCTACTATGCATATATTTAAAATGATAAATTGTGCTTTGTACTGATTATGCTCAGTTAGGAAGTCATGAAACTTAAAACACATTTAGAATAAATCCTTCACTCTACTGTGTCACAGTTTTACTTGAGAGAGACTTGGTATGCAGCCAAGTCTGTCCTTACCATGGTTTTCTTGCCTCTATCTCCGACTGTTGAGATGGAAGGTGGACCACCATGCATGGCTAACGTTTTAAGAGCTATATGCTTTCCTGCTATTTCAAGGGAGAAAACATATGTTATTCCCAGAATGTTTTAATTTCCATAAAATGAATTGATTTGCTTTTATCTTTTAAATATTAATAAGTGATAATTACTTATAATCACTGTAAAGTAAGTTAAATTGTCTTTTTTAAATTTTCCAGTTATATTAATTGCTATCAGCTCCCATTTCTATTTCTGTCTTTTCCTTGCTTCTCAGTTTAAGAAGTACAATAAAAATCTTACTGAAATAAGAAAGAGAGTGCTTGAGATGGCCAATTACGTCAACATGGTATGTTATATTTTATTAAATGTAATTTTAACACTTTGTTAAGAGATGACCTTGAATGTTTCTACTAATGAGCATGAATCCAGGATGGGGAGTCAAGTCCCTTGAAGCTAAGGCTGAAAGGAACTCCAAGGAATGATGATGGATTTTGCTATTTCAGTAGGTGTTAATGTTGCTGAAAGGTCAGCTTCCAGCAGGCCAGAGAGAATGAAGAAGAGTATAGTGATGGTGCAACTGTATACACACAGGAGAATTCTGAGGGTCAGAGCTTAATTCTGTAACATGGAGGAGACCTGCTTGTTTGTGTTTTCTGTCCTGCCTGGTAACCCACAGCCAGCAAGCCCTAAAGAAAATCATGCAGAGATCTCTATAAGTTATAAAGCTGATTGGCCCATTAGCTCATGCTACTTATTTGCTCTTGTAGCTTATATGAACCCATTGTTCTTATCTATGCTAGCCACATATTTCAGTACCTTTCTCAGCAGGGCAGCTCACATGCTTCTTCAGAGTCTGGGCAGGAGTGGGAGGAATCAGCTTCCTCCTTCCCAGAATTCTCCTTTTCTCATTGCATCACCTCTACTTCCTGCCTGGCCAATCAGCATTTATTTAAAACATGATTGACAGAATACAGACAATTCTCCCTCACCATAATTCTTCATTATAGTTTTCTTTCTTTAGCTTGTTCTGTTCTTCGCTTCCCCTTTATCCCTTTTATACCACCCAAGACAAAGATTTCCAAGCAAGAAAAGATCACCTCATCACCACAAGCTGCTTATTTTTCAAAAACAGATTAAAATCTTTACATAAGAAGAAATAACATTATAAGCACATGTTACATGTTTTTCTTAGAAGCCTATAAGTAGTTAAATATTTTTTTGGTATTAATTTCCCCAACATAACATCTTCACCCCAAAGCAATGATTCTTTTATTACTGATTAACAGAGTTTTTAACAAGCCAAGTATATGTTGGCCAGTTCTTTTGTACTAACAGACAGCTGTTTGAGGTTTAGTGTAGCAGATTTCTATTGTGTGGTATAGCAGATTTCTATTCTTTACTCTAGAGAAACTTTAAACAAGTGGTCAGTTGATCATCAACTTTTCTTTGCACACAATCGGATCATTTAATTTCCTTTCACAGCTTTGTTTTTTCAAAGGTGCATGCTGGGCCCTGTGATTAATGCTCTAAGCTATATGTTCAAGGAACTCAGGCCCAACCTTGGGTAGACATAATACTTTCTTTAATCATTAGCCTATTTTCCACAGGCAGAATTTATGGGTTTATAATGCATGACCCTTCCTTGTTCGTATTTTCCAGCCTCTGCAAATCTTATATCTAGCACGGTGGCTTAGAGCCTATTTGTGCCCTTTTCTATCTCTTACTGGAGCAATTTGCAGAATAACCTAAACCAATTCCCTAGTCATCTTTATTAACTGTTCTAACCACCTATAATTTTTGGATTAACTCCAAAAGTATTTGATACTTTCCAATTAAATCTTAGATCTAACTAATCACCATTGCCCTTATAAAAAGCATTTTCATCATGATTTGCAAGTTAATTGCCCAGAGAGGAGTGGGATTTTCTCAAGAAATAATCATACCATACTAAACACAGTGGGGTCCATTCATTTAGTAATCACACCATGCCACACCCAGCAGGAACCTAGCAGCAGCAAGCAGAAGGAAGCGCAAGAGCAAGGAACACTCTGGAAACAAGCCTCCTGGGACTTTGCCTCTGCAGAACGTACCCACATAGCTTTACTATCCTCTGGACTGTGTTCCATAAACTTCATCGCTGCAGTTCCTCTGACATCCCCACCGGCATATTAATACCACCCTGGGCTTAAGACCAAAAAACAACAAATCAAACCTTATTTAGTAAGAGTTTTTCCCCCAAATCCAGTTAAGAAACTATTTGTCTTAGTTAGAGTTTACTATTGCTGTGAAGAGACACCATGACCACAGTGACTCTTATAAAGAAAACATTTAATTGTGATGGCTCACTTACAGTTCAGAGGTTCATGGCGGGAGCGTGGCGGGGGGGGGGGGGCGGGGAGGGGCATGTACGCCGGCATGGTGCCAGTAGCCAAGTGTCCTGCATCTTGTAGCAACAGGAAGTCAACTATCACACTGAGTGAAACTTAAGACTTCAAAGCCTGTTCCCACAGTGACACACTTCCAACAGCGGGTGTGACTCAGATTAAATGTGTGCCCTCCAGCCTCAAGGTCTGGATTAAAGCTGTGTGTCCTCCAGCCTCCTCCAACAAGACCACACTTCCTCCAACACGGCCACACCTCCTAATAGTGCCATTCCCTATGATCTTATGGCACCAAATAAATTCAAACTAAACCAATACTAATAACCAAACCCCAATAGAAAATTATTCCAGGGAATTAAAAGAAAACAAAAACCAAAGTAGACCCATTAAGTCAAGAACTGTAGTACCTTTCTTACACACATTACCTCATTCACTCTTGAAAACAATCCTCAAAATGTTACTTACATATAATTTCCAGATAAGCATTTTTATCTGGAAAATTATAGCAATGTGCATGGTGATAAAGGACATGACGCTTTTGAAAGATAAAGTGCACTGAAAATATTAAACAGTGATCTCACTCTTATAACCCATTGCTTTGCTATGTATTCTCTTTGGACAGCTTTACAAAAAGCTTAATGCCCATGTAGCCTTAGTTGGAATGGAAATCTGGACCGATGAGGATAAAATAAAGATAACCCCAGATGCCAACACCACCCTGGATAACTTTTCTAGATGGAGAGGAAGTGATCTCCTAAAGCGGAAGCACCATGATGTTGCCCAGTTAATCTCGTATGTATAACTTCTTCTTTGCACTCTACATGGCATGTACCACAGGCTCTCTTGTCAGAGCCTCAGCAGTGAAGTGATGTCTTGGAGCATGTGAAAGATATAAGCAGGAAATTGGAAAAGGGAAATTGAAAGTGTTTTTAAAAAATACTCCATTGGATCCTTGATGAATATGATTTACTTTGGGTCTACGTGTTGCCCTTTGAAAAAACAACTTAAAGATAAGGTAGCTATTATTTATCAGAATTCTGTTTTATTGTGTCTACACAAAAGAAGGACAAATTTAGACCATGAAAAGAGGGATATAGACTGTGTTTAGAAGAACTGACTCACTTAAGCCAAGAGTTAGGAGAAAGTTCTAGAATCAAAGTACAATCGACTATTGTATTAAAACCCCACACTGAGACTACTCTGCTGAAGGGGAAAGGCCATTTGAAAACAAGAGCTAAAATAAATACAAGGAATGAAAGTTGCACTGAACTTTGACTTCTGAGATCAAGAACATGCCTCTGCACAGGTGCATAGTTTCAGTGATTTCAGGCAGGAGGGAGCTGCCATCATGGATTTGAAATGGCTAAAGAGTCTGCTTCCACAGGCAACAGGGCATGATATAGAAGTAGGTGGCCTATGTCCTGTAGAATTAATTTATATTTTGTACTGATTATAACAAATCAATTCAGAACTTATGGCTTTAATATAAGCTTAATTCCTTATGTATGTACACACACACACTCACACAATTGGGCTAGTATGGCTAGAACAAGCCAGGCTGTATTCCTCTATATACAATCTTTCATGTGGCCAGCATAGACTTCCTCCAGTGTAACTGTCTCATTGCAGTAGGATTTTCATCTGCATTCCATGAAGCCCAGGAGAAACTTGGCTCATTGTGACCTAGCCTCAACGTTTACACAGCACCACAATGGATGTGTGCTCTTAGCCACAATGGATTATGATCTTAATGACAAAGGATGTGTGTTCTTAGCAACAATGAGTGTATGATCTTAACCATAATAGATGTATGCTCTTAGCCACAATAATTATATGATCTTAACCAAAATCTCATACCACAATATCAACCCAAGATAAAGGTGCTCATTGGACTATAAGTGCTACAGGAATTACTCATTGAAGGGCATGGTTAGAGAATAACAAACACAACTCCTTAGCATGGAAGAGTGACTTCTAGATTGAGACACACTTTTGGGTGAAGTCTGTTCCTTAATAAGGAATGTAATGAGTTCCTGAGTTATGACCTTGGTTACTAGAGAACCTAAGCAATTTGAACTTTTCCCAAGTCAGTCAAATTGCTGTATATTTATATACTAGAGAGCAATGGCATAGAGAGGTGAAAATCATAGGCAAGATTTAAATGTGTAGGTAAATTTTAATGGAATGCTGAGAAGATATTTCTTGAATGGATTAGAGCAAACAGAAAAAAAAGGCACTAGTTCCCTGGGTAGAAGATTTACTGTTCCACTTATAAATTGTAAGTCTTGCCATTTACTAGACAAATTAACAAACTACCTAAATGCAGGTTAGCAAGATAAGAACATTAAAGTCCAAATATGCTCTATTCATGGAGAAGAGAAGCCAAAATAGGTAATTACAGAATAGAAAAAGGTGTTATTTTTGTAAATGTTATCCATGGTGAGAACTGATACCATACAAATGTAGAATCAAGTATCAAATCTTCTATAATATAAACTTAAATTAGTTGCTGATGTGATAAACCAAATATGCCAAAATAAAGAAGTGTAATGTCCAAATCACATGTACTGTTGTAGACCCTACATTGAGGGGGTATTTGTCATGTCCACACATTAGGGTGACATCTGTTGGGATCCAGACTCCACAGGGCTTGCATATTCCAGTATAGGGGCATGTGGATCAGAAATATTAGGTAGGAGGATCAGAGATATGAAAAAAATACAGAGGCATGGAATAGAACCAGAAGGTCTATCCAGTGAATACTGAATGCAACCATGTTTGTTTTCTATATGATTATATACCCCAATCCAAAAAGGGGGGAAGACAGCCAAAGACACAAAGGACAAACAGAACAATTACTTGGTTCAATACTTGAGACATCAAGCCATTATTTCCTGAGTTAAACATCTGGATGTACAGCAACTATGCTTAGACCAAGTATCCTGTAGGCAGCCACTCCCTGGGTCAAAACTTCTGTCATAACCTTGAAGGAGCATGAATAGGCTTGAATTATCTGACCTTTGATAAGGGTAGAGCAGCTCCACCTCTATGGGTCATATTAATATCTAAAACACCAAGTAACCACACCCTAGACCAGGATCTCTTGTTTGTAGTGACACCTTAAGTCAGACTTCTTGTCAATGACTTTGAAAGAGCAAGAGTAGGTATAAGGTCTCTGACCTTCAATCAAGGTGGAGTGGACCCACTTCTGTGGGTCCCCACAACGTGTATAAAATCAGATTAGGTCAAAAGATAAAATATACAGGGAAAGGACAGTGAGGGGAAACTCTCTTACTTTTCTCATCTTTCATGTAGAATCGGTGTTTTCCTTCTTTGAGGCTGCTCAGTGAAAAAAAACACAAGTTGAATAAACTGGGGAGTTGGAGGTTTGACAAGTACTTAAAATTCTGCTAAGGCTCCAAGCCTTGTGCAGATGATAAGGAAGACACTTTCTGTCATCATTGCTAATTAGAAATTGACTCCCAAAGCAAAATTAAATTCACCTAAAACTGTTAGCAAATAAAAGCTAATTTTATTTTAATTGTCTTAATTTACTTTGTTTGATTTTATTTAAAATAAATTTAATTTAAATTCAAACAAAATATAAAATTTAGCTTACAACCAAAAGATTAGATACAGGGGAACATTTGTTCGGACCAAAGGGAAAATAACACAACAACAACAAAACCCCCACAAAAACCAAAAACCAAGCTAAGCAAACAAAAACCAGTTTCTTTTCTTGACAAGGAATAAATTATAAATTGACAAGGGAAACGCTAAAAAATTTAATAGTCATGAACACATAGTAAACATTGAATGTTCTTACATCTAAATGCTTGAATTTCAAGTTCTATGGCAGACAGTATTAGAAAAAGTCCTTTTTGTGATTTCAAAACCCCAAGAAAATACTTAAATGATGGATGGCAATTTAAGTTGCTCCAGTACTTGTTTAGAGTTCTAAATAAATTGTTTATAAAAATACAGGTTCCTCATTTTTACATGCATTCTTTTCTTCCTTACAGCTCAAGAGACTTTTCTGGATCCACAGTGGGCCTCGCTTTCATGTCTTCAATGTGTTCCCCTTATCATTCTGTTGGCGTCATTCAGGTCTGTTTGAAAATAAAATATTGGTTCTATGCATCTCCCTAACTTTCCTACCCTGTCTATGGAGTTAGGGATGTCCTAATGCTGTTTCTGGGTAAATACAGTGACTGAAAGGCAAACATTGACTTAACCTTGCATTTTGGGATAAATCTGATGTATTCATAAAGTATTGTCATCATTCACAATGCTAATACATCTTCAGGATCCCTGCTCTAGACTCAAGGGTAGTATCAATCTACAGTTTGATTTTTATTATAGTGTGATTATTAAAGGCTTGGTTGTTATAGTGAATTTGACCATATTCAAGGACTTGGAATATATTTCAACTCTGATTTTCTGCACTGTTGGGTAGACTTGCTACCGTTTCTGCCAAAATATTTATCACAATACACCAGTAAAACTGTGTGGTACTGTAGTTTTCTTTCTCTTTCTTTCTTTCTTTCTTTCTTTCTTTCTTTCTTTCTTTCTTTCTTTCTTCCTTCCTTCCTTCCTTCCTTCCTTCCTTCCTTCCTTCCTTCCTTTCTTTTTTTTTTGATTTTTGAGACAGGGTTTCTCTGTAGTTTTTGGTGCCTGTCCTGGAACTAGTTCTTATAGACCAGGCTGGCCTCGAACTCACAGAGATCCGCTTGCCTCTGCCTCCCGAGTGCTGGGATTAAAGGCGTGTGCTACCACGCCTTTAGTTTTCTTTTAGAAAGAGTTTTGAAGTCAAATTTTATTGGTTCAGTCAACTTTGGGACTGTCCAGATTATCTTTATTTGAGCAACCTTGGTAGTTTCATCTTTCAGGGGAAAAGATGTCCATTGACTGACTATATTCCTTACAATCTTTTCTATATGGAGCTAACTTACAAGCATATCCTCTTATAATATTAATTGTCAGTACCTTTTCTTTTTCTGTTGTGATCAGTTTCAATCGGTGTTTGTCAATTTCTTTGCTCTATGCAAAAAAATCATTGATACTTCAATGGTTTTTCCTCTAAACATCATTGGTTTCTGGGCTTGTCTTACTAATTCTCTTTCCTTTTCTTATATTGCATTTAATTTGTTCTTCTTTAATTCAATCACTGCCTCGATGTATATTGTTTTAGCTGCATCGGTACATTGAGTTTTTTTCACCTTAAATAATTCATAATTTTCCTTTTAGACTTTACTCTTATATTTCCTATGAGTGTTATGTAAAATTTGTTATTTTTATGCACTGGAGTGCAGTCCGTAGAATTTTGATTTTTGATATTTGTCTTTAGTTAATGGCTCCATTTGAACTGATGTGAAAGTATCTTTTGTGAATGTCCTATAGTTGTTAATAACATCCAGGTAATTTTAGTGTTGTTGAGATTTGTTCAGTCTTAATGAAAAGTAGGCATTGAAATACTTAAACATAGTTACTGGGGTTTGTTCTTTTTGTCTTCCAACTGAATGATTTTGCTTCATTCAGCAAAATCCCATGATTCATTCAAAATCATGGGTTTTGAAGCTCTGTGGTCAGGTGTTTACATCAGTGTAATCACTGTCTCCCCGAAGAGCTGACTTTTATTATCTCACAATCCTCACAAATGTTCATTCTCTAAGTGCTGATTGTTTTGCTGTCCACTTTGTATAATGCTGAAAAGGTTGCACCAACATTTGTTTGAATAATAAATACCTTTTCTTACTTGTGTGTTTTTGGTGTGTGTGTGTGTGTGTGTGTGTGTGAGAGAGAGAGAGAGAGAGAGAGAGAGAGAGAGAGAGAGGAGAGGGGGGGTCTTCAGCTGAACTCAACACCAAGGGTATGCCATGATGAGAAGTACATGTCATTCTCCCCTGTTATTACCCTTAGGATCACAGTAACTACCATCTTCGAGTTGCAGGGACAATGGCCCATGAAATGGGGCACAACCTCGGTATGATCCATGACTACCTGAGTTGCAAGTGTCCATCTGAAGTCTGTGTAATGGAGCAGTCACTAAGGTGAGGGTGTTGGGGACACGCTGTGTGTCCCTGGTTTGGATGTACTATGGTTGGTGCTCTCCTCAAGGTAATAGTCAACAACTTGTTCAAGACTTCATGTCTTAGAATTGGAAGAATTTTAACAGAATCAGGAAGTCTACATTTGTTGTCAAATTTTCCATAAACTCGGAAAAAGTGATTATAGGAACAAAGTTTTTGAAGAAAAATCTGATGTCCTTCAACAACAGAAGAGTAAATAAAGATGTGGCACATTTACATAATAGAGTATTTCTCAGTTGTTAAAAAATGACATCATCAAATTTTCAGGCAAATCGATGGAACTGGAAAATATCAGCCTGTGCAAAGTAACCCAGACCTATAAAGACAAATATGATCTGCCATCATCAGAGAAGGTTCTTGCCGCAGATGGGAACAGAGGCCAACATTATACAGAGACTGAGAAACTTTGGTCTTAAACATTCAGTCTTAAATGGGATGTCTCCTCCATTCCATTCCCCATTTCAGAACCCAGGGAACATTGTAGAAAATGGGGCAGAAAAGTGTTAGAACAAGAGGGGATGGAGGACACCAAGAAAAAACCCTCGTAAATCAACCAGAGCAAAACTCATATGAACTCACAGAGACTGAGGCAACATTCATAGGGTCTACAAAGGTCTGCACCAGGCCCTCTGTGTATATGTTGTACCTTCCAATTTAGTGTTTTTGTGCATTCCTGAGTGTACAAACAATTGGGTCTTTGATTCATGTGCCTTCTCTTGGGCTCTTTTCCTTCTGTTGGTTTATCCTGTCCAACTTCAATGTGGTAGTTTTTACTTTGTCATATTATATTTTATTTTGTTATATTCTAGTATTAAATCCTGGAAACCTGTTATTTTCTAATGAGAAACAGAAAGTGAGTGGGTCTGGGTGGGAGGGGCATTGGGGAGGACCTGGGAAGAGGAGAGAGAGGGGAACCTTGAGCAGGATATATTATGTGAGGAAAAAAGTCTATTTTCAATAAAAGAAAAAAAAATAAGGAACTTCTTAGAGGAAAAAAATGGGGAAAATATTTATATCCCTATCATTCTGGAATATTTCAGGCAATATTATCTAATTCTCTATTTGTCTATCTATCTGTCTGTCTGTCTACCTACCGATCTATGCATATGTGTATTTATATATGAATATACATACATGCACACACAGACACATATATATGTATATATTTCCTCTTTTCTGTTCAAATCTTTCTGCCAACTCTATTATTAATTTTTTTTTATACTCCTTCCCCTAAAAGAACCTGGATTCCCTCCAGGTACACATGTAGTATCATTCCTCCCAGATATTATTGCATGTTTAAGGCTCACCTTCATTTATAAAATGAAGAGAATATCAATGGTACTTACCTAAGGGAATATGATTTGTGCATAAAATCGGACTGTTTTCCATAATGATCCAGGAACGAGAGAGATGACATGAGCTGGCCAAGAAGCATTTTTGTTTTCACTAACAGTGGTCAGCATGCTATACTTTGAGAATGGTCACATTTACCCACTAGGCGGAAATATTTATGTCCACACAAGTGGGTGGCTTTAGAAATCTAGATGTTTGCACGACTTAGTACTTGGTCAGTGCATTAGATTTGATCTCTGCAGATACTTGTCAGTGTCATTGTTTCTAACACCAGCCGTTACTTCCCACAATTAAAGCATGGTGGTACTGCTCTTTCTCTTTCTTTATCTACATAGGTTCCATATGCCCACAGACTTCAGTTCCTGCAGCCATGTCAACTACGGGCAGTTTCTGGAAGAGAAATTATCTCACTGCCTCTATAACACCCCATTGCCTTCCGATATCATATCCATCCCAGTGTGTGGGAACCAATTACTAGAGATGAATGAGGAATGTGACTGTGGCTCCCCCCAGGTACTTCTAGCCCTTTCTAAAACCACCTAGTTCATTTATCAGTTGCTGAGAACATAAAGTGGACATGACTATATCATAAAACTGGGTTGGTAGGTATTCTCCAGGCTAGTCTGCCAAGGAGTGTGTGGATCTTAATATATCTTTATTTTTCCCACTAGATCCCTTTCCATCCTGATTTTGTAGCACCCCTCACCAATGTCTTCATCCCTAGAATCCTGGTTGAAATTCTTCAGGTAGCTCAAACAGCTGTGGATCAGTGAGCACCACCTTGGGGGCAGCCCGACAGCAGTGTTAGAGAGGGAATCATTTGCTTCCCCATGCTCACAGGCCTGGCCAGAGCAAGAGTCAGTATCTAGACCTAGGTCTTACTTTTTGACTCTCACACCCACATCACATGTCTCAGATCTGTCAAGACCCAGAACTTGTTGGCATCACAATCCAAACCCCACCCTACTCTCATCTTATTCACAGGTGGGCCAAAATTCTAAATAGGGATCTACTCTATCCCCATTCCCTTTTAGCACTTAACAGGAGTAACGCATGATTTCCTCTGGGGACTGGCATTGCAATGACTTCAGAATAAGATTAAAGATTTATTCCTTCTATCCTCAAGGTTAATCTTCCTCTGATGATGGTTTTACTTAAATTTAGGGAAGCAGTTTTAACTTGAAAAGCATTGTAACTCTTGAAGTCTCACTCTTCAGTAGGAGTCTTGACAGGTACAGGGAAATTGCCTTAGGTTCTAGGTTCTCCAACACCTGTAGAAAAAGGGTTTGGATCTCTCAAAAGCAAAAAGCAAGAGCCAAAGAAAGTATGATGCTTTCGTGGATGTCCAACCATTTGGCATTGCAATATGATGTCACTTATTGATATCCTGAGTTACATTAGAAGTTATTCTGGGACAAGTACTAGAATTGAATTAATGGCCAAAGTATGTATGTTGATGACTAGTTTAATAATATTTAATATCTATATTGAAAATGGAATTAAATTTAAGATGAGATAGAACCACAACTAATGAGTAGGATTATTTAAGTTGGATTTTCCTTAAAAAAAAGTTGCTTTTTCTTTTGTCTCCTTCATACTTTATCAAGAAAAATAGAACTTATGAATAGTCCTATTAAAGACTTGTGGGTAATGTATTTGTTCAAAAGAATAGAAAGCATATATCCACTAAAACATATGGAGAGTGGATGGGGGTGGAGGAAGGTAAGATGAGAAGAGGGTAGGGAGGGGGCAACTGTAGTTGGTACGTAAAATGAATAAAAAATATGTAAGTAAAAGTCAGATACACACGATCCACCAGTCACTCGGACTCTTTCTAATGTCTGGGCATAACTCTCTTTCACAATAGGAAATTTTTAAATGTAGCCGAGTACTGTGTACATGTAGCAAACAAGCTATCTATCGAATTGTCCTGAAATAATATATCACTTTGGTCTGACTGATGTTTTCTAGGAATGTGCCAACAGATGCTGTGATGCAGAGAGCTGTAAAATCAAAGCAGGTTTCCAGTGTGCCCTGGGGGAGTGCTGTGAGAAGTGCCAGGTAAGGGTCATCTGTGCCGCTTTTGTAATCATGATCCTTTTTCTGTACTAATGCTTCAGGGACTATGTTAAGTCGCACAGGCACAGCAATGGTTTTCTCCCTAGAAAATAATGACTCAATCACTCATTGGGAATTTTCCCAGTTCAACCAGTCTCTCAATAATGCAAAGGAGATATTGTCTCATCTTTCTTTTGATTGAAAGGAGTCTTAGAGCAGAAAATGTGAAAAAAATAGCATGTCTCCTGTTTGTAACAGACAGTATAATCCATGAGGGCATTATAACAAGTGAATGAAAATAGACTCAGAGAGCCAAAGGCTGTGTGATCTCTTGTATATGCAAACTCTAAAAAAAGCTGACTGTCGGACTCAGCATGTGATTCAGCTGGCAGAGTGCTTGCCTAGCATGCATGAAGCCCTGGGTTCAATCCCCAATGCAGCATGACCCAGGCATGGTCATTCGTGCCTTTAATCTCAGCATTCAAAAGGTAGAGGAAGCAGGATCAGAAGTTCAGAATTATCATTGGTTACACAAAGGAGTCAAGGCCAGCCTGGAATACATGGATCACACACACACACACACACACACACACACACACACACACACACACAC